GAGGTCTCGCCAAGTTGCCCAGGTGGGTCTCGAACCCATGGGCTCAGGAAATCCACTCACCTCAGCCTCCCAAAGCATGGGATTACAGGCTGAGCCACCAAGCCAGGCTCAGCTGGTCTAATTTCAATGTTATTGTGTCTCAATAGGGAGGCCACAAGAGGAGGCGAGGGATGGGGTCAGCCAGTCAGTGGAGCGATCAGAACATATAACATGTATTGACTAGGTTCGCCATCTTATATGGGCAAGGACCACAGCACTGCAAAACAACTGCAATGGTGACAGCAAAGACATAATGATAGTGAAAAACTGGGAAATATCGCGAGAATTGTCAAAATGTGACACAGAGGCACTTTTTTTAGAAATAGGGTCTCACTCTGTCACCCAGGCTGGATTGCAGTGGCATAGTTATAGGAAGTCTGCACACGCTGTTGGAAAAATGGTGCTGATAGACTTGCTCCATGCAAGGTTACCACAAACCTCCAATTTGTAAAAAAAAACAAACAAAAGAAAATGCAGTATAGGCCAAGCTCAGTGGCTCAGTCTGTAATCTCAGTACTTTGGGAGGCTGAGGCAAGTATATTGCTTGAGTCCACAGGCTCAAGACCAGCCCAGGCAACTTGGCAAGACCTCGTTTCTACAATAAATAAAAATTTAGCTGGGTGTGGAAGTGCATGCCTGCAGTTCCAGCTACTTGGAAGGTTGAGGCGGAAGGATCGCTGGGGCCCAGCAGGTCGATACTGGGGTGGGCGTGAGCATGAAACTGCATCCAGCCTGGGAGACAGAGTAAGACTCCAACTCAAAAAAAAATGCAGTGTCTACAAACACAGTAAAGCAAAGCACATTAGAACAAGGTATGCCTATATGCGCTTCTCAAAGCAGGCTTTATTTAGAACAAAGGCCATCTCATGAATGTAACATATTGATTTTCAAGGAAAAAAATCCATTTAAAAAACAGGCTTCTATACAACTATAGAATTCTTTTCAAACTCTATTCACATTCCTTTTAACTAAGACAATGCCTTCTTGTGTAGGAAAATGCAAGATTCAATACTCTCGTTTTAAGTCTCATTATAGAACTTTAAAAAATCAGCGAAAAACAGAAGAAGGCAAGTAAGTACACAGCAGTAACTACTGGCCAGCTCTGGGACTTTCTCTCTTCACAGTTCTCCTATGGAAAATCTCAAACAAACATCAGTGGAGTACTTCAAACATAATTCACAGATAAAATAAGGCTGTTCCCAAGAAATTCACCCCGTGGCATCGCTGAAGCCCGGATTCAGTTTAACTTTCCGGCAGCGCAACTTGTGGGTCTATTTCTATATAATGGGTCTTGGTTTTCTGAAGTACATGCAAGAGTTCTTCTCAGCTTAGCTAACTGAAGTTTAAGGTTGGGTCTACACAGCCAATGTTTTCCATATGCTTGAAAGGTAGTGACTGAAGATTCACTTGAACAGTCTTAAGGCTGGTAAGTCCACGTAACCAATGCAGCTGGGTAGGTAGCCTGATCCTCTCCAGAGCCACGGGTCCCCTGGCCTTCCGATGTCCACCCTCTGGGCAGCCTCGTCCTCTCCAGAGTCACAGGGTCCCCTCCTCTTCCCGACGTCCGCCTTCCAGGAGGCTTCTATAGTGCTAGGGCCACTTTTTACTTATAATCCATCCCATGACTTTAACACACTTTGTTGATCCATTCATCAGCTGATGGATGTTAGGTTGTACCCACTTTTTGACCGTTACGAATAATGCTGTTATGAATATCCATGTACATGTTCGCATGTGGACGTGTTTTCAATTCTCTTGGGTATAGATCCAGGGATGAAACTGCTGTTCCAATGATAACTGAGAGTAACTTTTTGAGGAACTGTCCACTGTTTTCCATAGCAGCTGCTTCATTTAAAATTCCTACCACCCATGTATGAGGGTTCCAATTTCTCCATATCCCCACCAACACTGATTATTTTTGTGTGTGTGTGGTTTTATTTTTTCAAACAGGCATAGAAACAATGCAGATTTTCTTACATTATAGCTATCCTAGTAGGTATGAAGTGATATCTCATTACGGTTCAGATTTGCATTTCCCTAATGACTAATGATGTTTGGCATCTTTACGTGTACTTATTGAAAACTTGTATGTCTTCCTCTTCTATTTTTTGAAACCCGTATACTTTTTTTTTTTAGAGACAGGGTCTCACTCTGTCACCCAGGCTGGAGTGCATGGCACAATTACAGCTCACTGCATTCTCAACCTCCTGGGCTCAAGCAATCCTCCCGTGTTGGCCTACTGGGTAGCTGGGGCTGCAGGCGTGCACTATAGCTGGTTAATTTTTTTTTTTGGTAGAGATACGGCCTCACTATGTTGCCTAGGCCGGACACACCTGTACATATACTTTATCTTATTTATTTATTTATTTATTTTTGAGTTAGAGTCTCACTCTGTCACCCAGACTGGAGTGCAGTGGCCGTTCCTGGCCACCGCAGCCTCAACCTGCTGGGCTCCGGCGATCCTTCCGCCTCAGCCTTCCGAGTAGCCAGAATTACAGGCACGCGCTACCACGCCTGGCTAATTTTTTGATTTATTGTAGAGATGAGGTCTCGCCTGCCCAGGTGGGTCTCGAACCCGCGGGCTCGGGTAATCCACTCACCTCAGCCTCCCAAAGGCGTAGGATTACAGGCTGGGCCACCAAGCCCGGCTATTTTTATTTTTTTGTAGAGACAGGGTTGCTATGTTGCCCAGGTTAGTCTTGAAACCCTGGGCTCAAGTGATCCTCCCACCTTGGCCTCCCAAAGTGCTGGGATTATAGGCGTGAGCCATCACGCTCAGCCACAAATTCTTAATATATCCTAGATATTAGATACATGGTTTATAAATGTTTTCTCTCATTCAGTGCATTTTTTTCTCATTCTGGATAGTGTTCCTTGATGCACAAGAGATTTTAATTTTGATAAAGTTCAGTTAATCTGTTTTTTTCTTTGATCGTTTGTGTTTTTGGTGTCATATTTAAGAAACTGTTGCCTAGTCTAAGGTCATGAAAATTCCTACTTTCTAAGAGTTTTATAGTTTTAGTTCTTATACTTAAGTCTTTGGTCTATCTATAATTTTGAAGGCAAAACACAACCAAGTTTTTCTTACAAACTGTGCCTCTTCAGGCTTTTTCTCAATCTCTTTAAAGACAAAATTAGCCAGGCTCGGTGGCTCAGCCAGTAATCCTGTGCCTTTGGGAGGGTGAGGTGAGTGGATTGCCTGAGCTGGCGGGTTCAAGACCCGCCTGGGCAGCGAGACCTCATCTCTACAATAAAATCAAAAAATTAGCCGGGCGTGGTAGCGCGCGCCTGTAATTCCGGCTACTCAGAAGGCTGAGGCGGAAGGATCGCCAGAGCCCAGCAGGTCGAGGCTGTGGTGGCTGGGAGCGGCCACTGCACTCCAGTCTGGTGACAGAGTAAGACTCCAACTCAAAAAAAAAAAGACAAAATTTACCTGAAATCTACCAAGGAACAGATAACAGGAACAGACTAACTTTGTAGAGTTCAGAAAGCAGCTTCAGGGGAGGCCATCTCCAGCAGCTTTGCAGCCGTGGCTTCTCCAGTGTGAGGCCACCTGGAGTCTGCGCAAGACCCTGTCATCCCCACGACCTCTGAGTGGTGGGCCAAGCCCACTCCAGCCTTTGGGAGGGATGCCGGCACCACCTGAGCGTGCCACTTGACAGTCTCGCATCCCACTGGAAACGAGTAAGACCTGACAAAGGGCACCTTGGCCTCGCGTTAGCACACGCTGAGGCAAGGAGGAACAACCGCAGAGGCCAAAAGCAGGAAGCAAGACAGCAGTGTCAGACGCAGAACACAAAGCAACAGACCCACCAGGAGAACACGTCCTGGGATCAGCCTCGAAAAACATGCTCTGCAGAAGCAGGTGGCTGGGGTGCTTACCTCTTGGATGTTGAACCTCAGGATCTCCTTCATGTAAGTAGGCAACAGTGTCAGCAGAGTGTAAAAAGTCCAGTTGTAGGAAAAATGTGCAACCACAATGGCCCAAAGAGGCAGTGACTGCACGATGGGCACCCACGGCACCGACTTCTGGGAAGAAAGCTGGAGAAAACAGCACGATTAGGGCAAGCGAGGGCCACAGAGGCCGGGGTCTGTGCCGCATCAGCTAAGACCCCGCCTAGACACAGAGTATTAGCCTTAACTAGGAAACTCCAGATTTATTTATTTAATTTTTATTTTTTGAGTTGGAGTCTCACTCTGTCATCTAGGCGACACTCATGGCCACTCCAGGGTCGACCTCCTGGGCTCCGGAGACCCTCCCGCCTCAGCCTTCCAAGTAACTGGAACTACAGGCACGTGCCACCACACCTGGCTAATATTTTGATTTATTGTAGAGATGAAGTTTCACCAAGTTGCCCAGGCTGGTCTTGAACCCGTGGGCTCAAGCAATTCTCTCACCTCAGCCTCCCAAAGTGCTGGGATTATAGGCGTGAGCCACTGCGCCCAGCCAAAATTCCAGATTTCAAAACCAGCTTCTTTGAAATAGTAAATAGCCGGGCTCGGTGGCTCAGTCTGTAATCCCGCACCTTGGGAGGCTGAGGTGAGTGGATTGCCTGAGCTTGCGGGTTCGAGACCTGCCCGGGCAACTTGGCAAGACCTCATCTCTACAATAAATCAAAAATTAGCCGGGCATGGTAGTGCATGCCTGTAGTTCCAGCTACTTGGAAGGCTGAGGTGGAAGGATCGCTGGAGCCCAGCAGGTGGAGGTTGCAGTGGCCGGGAGCGGCCACTACACTCCAGTCTGAGTGACAGAGTGAGACTCCAACTCAAAAAAAAAAAAAAGAAAGAAATAGTAAATAGTAAAACCCATAATAGATGTTGAGCTGAAGCCACCTGCAGACTCACTTCTCTATTCAGAAAATGGGGAAGAGCGGCATCATCAAATTCAGAGGCTGGCGTTAAGGGAGATCCTAGAGGAATTCATCTTTTATTACCCCATTCTGATCCGACTAATGTGATTTGCAGAGACTGTGCAACAGAGGGCTTTAGAGTATGGCCACATGGAGTTGTGGGCTACAGAGCAGGGCAGAAGCACCAGGGGTTGCAAGGTGACCCACTGGGAAGGAAAGACAGGCTAGAGTCCTACTATGCTCATTCTAATTCTAAGAAAAGAAATCACTCTCTATCGACAATAAGCAGGCCGGCCCTGGCATGTGTCAGGCAATCGCATCCAACAGTGGCCCCAAGTCGGGGCTGGTGATGGCCTCTCTATGTGCCTGCTGCCCTCAGGGCATCACCGCTGGCTGCAGTTGTCATCTGCCTTTCCAAGTGGCTTCATGGATTCCATTAGCCAGTTTTAATTGAAACAAGCCTCACAAGATTGACAGTGTCTCCAAAAGATGCCTGCAGGCTGGGATCAGTGGCTCAGCCTGTCATCCCAGCACTTTGGGAGGCTGAGGCGAGTGGATTGCCTGAGCCTGTGGGTTTGAGACCAGCCCAGGCAACTTGGTGAGACCTCGTCTCTGTAATAAACCAAAATTAGCTGGGCATAGTAGCACACGCCTGTAGTTGCGGCTACTTGGAAGGCTGAGGTGGAAGGATTGCTAGAGCCCAGCAGGTCGACACTGGGGTGGCCATGAGTGTACCACTGCACTCCAGCCTGGGCGACACAGTGAGACTCCAACTCAGAACACAGCAGAGCTGCCTGCTCTCCCGGAATCCTCTGCCAGCTGCCTTGCCAAGCGCCTAATGGTGATCATCAAATATAGCATGCTCCATACTCTCCACTAAATGCTATTATAAATACATTATTACTGATTTTGAAGCGACAGCAGGAAAGGTTTTTTTCCTATTAAAAGTTAGGTATTGGCCGGGCTTGGTGGCTTAGCCTGTAATCCCAGCACTTTGGGAGGCCGAGGCGTGTACATTGCCCGAGTCTGCGGGTTTGAGACCTGCCCGGGCAACTTGGTGAGAACTTGTCTCTACAGTAAATAAAAAATTATCTGGGGGTGATAGCATGTGCCTGTAGTTCTGGCTACTTGGAAGGCTGAGGTGGAAGGATCGCCAGAGCCCAGCAGGTCAACGCTGGAGTGGCCATGAGTGTACCACTGCACTCCAGCTTGGGCAACAGTGAGACTCCAACTCAAAAAAAAAAATATTAGGTATTACTGTTTATTTCATCTTACTCATCCTTTAAAAAGCCTTCTATGTATATTTTATAATGTACATAAGTACAGCAGTGTGTCCAGGTCACCCATGAAGAAATTCACACACCTTCAGGCTAATAAGTCCGCCACCTCTCCTGATGGGGTGTGTGGTGTGATCAGGAAAGCTCGGACACTGCCGGCCTAGGGCATCCGATCTTACATTTCCTAAACAAGGGGTTCACAGGTATTTCAGAAAGAGGAAGAACCAGTACTGCCCTTCCTTGGGTCTTTTCCTAGGGGCCTTTCATTGGCGTCTCAGGAGATCTTCTCCTGTGATTCCCAATATGATCAAAGGTGCAGGAGATGTGGGGGGAGGAGAGAGAACGTTTCTTCCTTTACAGCCGTGGTTCTCAGCTCTGTACTTCAGAACCACCTTTGACACTTTAGCATTCCAGATGCCTGTGTGCCACAGATGACTGTATAAACAACAAAACCAAGGGAAACAAAAAGACTGAGTGCAGGGCCAAGGAATCTAAATTTTAAAATCACAGGTGATTCCATAGGGCAATGAGTTCCCCAGCTTTGCTGCATATAAGAATCACACAGGGGCCGGCTGAGTGGCTCACACCTATAATCCCTGCACTGTGGGAGAGTAAGGCAGGATTGCTTGAGCCCGGGAGTTCGAGAGCAGGATGGGTAACACAGTGAGACCTCATCTCTACAAAAAAAAAAAAAAAAAAATTAGCTAGG